AAAGATGCTCAACAATTTTCCAGACAATACATGTCGTTGTTTTGTTTTTTGTGTGTGAAGAAAAACTATACATTATGGCCATTATGCTATAGCATGGATGAGGAAATCTGTGGAGGCCTAGTAGCATCATCTGCGATAGACAGATAAACCTTCCAGCTATTCTGCTCAGTCTTCATTAAAAAAAAAAAAGACATAATAGAAATATGTGTTTAAAATGCTGTATTAATATCACTTTGACCTGAGCTGCATTATCAAATCACCTTTTTAACGAACATGTCATAGGAGTGTTACTATTCTGGTGAAACAAAGTGCTTGCTTCACCTTTCTAAAACAACCCAATTCTTCCCAAGCACACTGGGAAACAGTAATTTGACTACTGTGACAAGACAAGAAAGAGTTAACCATTCAAACACCTAATCAGAATCTCTCAAGAACTGCATATCCAGGAGTGGATTTTTTTTTAAATTATATTTTATTTACTGCGATGGAAAACTGTATTATTGATGTTAATGGTAAAGTATCTTTTATGTGCCATGGTCTATACAAAATGTAGTAGTACATTAACTTCAAAGGTGGTAAGAAGATTAAAACAAATAGTTCATGGGACGTGACATGCAACACAGCATTAAAAATATAAGACTGAACAATCCCAGTGCCTTGGCAGGATCCTTTTATATTTCTTTGTTAATGAGGGAAATTCTTAAAATCCAATCCAGCAAGCGTAAGTGTAAGGAAAAGCTTTTAAAATCTTATCACAACGTGTTATTTAGTGAGCTAATCATCAAAGCATTTTTTACGGCAACAGAAGGGGGCTTTACTCATCAAAATCAATACAACTCACTTTAAGAGATCATATTTATGCTGTTTTTAACTCCTAAAAGGTGCCCTTCGCGTTTAACATTTCTGGGGGAAAAAAAAAAAAAGACCTAAAATCATACCACCGGTTTCCAACAGCCACCCCTCCCCCCACCTCAGACTGACACCATCCCAAGAACCTGGGACTCTTACTAGGATCTTGGCAGCATTCGATCTCCCAGTTTGCTAAGTTAGAGAGAACATGACAAAGGCTGGTGACATGGAAACAGGAAGTTCTCTACTGGAAACTGGCAGGGAAAATTGCCATTCCCTTACAGTTGCTGCACTACGTTACTGAGGTCCTCACTTCTCTAACCCAGGGGGTCTCACCGTGTGGTCCTGGGAACTGTGGCAGCATCACCAGGGAGCTTGTTAGAAATGCAAATTCACGGCCCCACCCCAGACCGACTGAATCCAAAACTCTGGGAATGGGGCCCAGCAATTTGTGTTTTAACAAGCACTACAGGAGATTATGATGTACTCTAAAGTTGGAGAACCACTCCTCTTCAAACTTTAATGTGCGGAAGAATCACCTGGGGAGCTTGTTAAAATTCAGCCGGTCTGAGGGGTGACCTGAGAGCCTCCATTCCAAAGCAGCTCCCAGGTCAGGTCTTGTGCAGACCACACTGCAAGGGTTTTCCGAAACCGGTGGTTTACCGAAATGACCCAGGGTGTTTATAAAATACAGGTTCCCAGGCACCACCCCAGACCAAATTAATCTGAATCTCAGGCGAGAGGGCTAGTCGAATACGGTACGACCAGTGGTTCTCTGCCTCAGCTGCACGTTCAAAATCACCTGAGGAGCTTTTAATAATCCTGATGTCCGGGCCCCATCCAAGACCAATTAAATCGGAATCTCTGGGCTTGTGACCCAGGTCTCCACATTTTTAATAATTCCCCAGTGGTTCGAATGTGCGGCCCGAGTGGAGAACGGCTGCTGTGGAGTCTAACTGGCCCCCACACCTGGCACAGTGGATCCCTTTATTGTAGCAAATGGTTTCCTATAATGTGGCTATCTGGGTTCCCACATATGAATCCAAGAGCTCTGGTTTTGAAGAATAAAATGCACCTCAAGTCATTTTTAAAATCACATCTCAAACCTGATTTCTGTGGGCAAATGTGCCTGGAGAACCGAGACCGAGGATTTAGTAATGCAGTCCTCACTTTTAACGCGAATGTCATGTGTCCTCCATTAAACAAGTTTTCACTGTCCTCCCAAGCTGTAGCTACTGCTACCTCTGTGCAATGAGGAAGATGCTCCAACAAACAGAAGCCAACAGTGAAGAAGAATTTGTACCCTACAGCCTGTCCACATATTGGCATCCCCTCCTTGAACCTGAAACGGACAGAGGAAATTTCTAATAACCCTTCAGAATGGAAGGGTAACTGCTCAATCAACAACTTTTGAACCTATACAAGGCAGATTTCACTAGTTACAGACATGTTGACAGAGAAGGTTCTGGGAAGGGATGAAAGCGGTGTGTTTTGACACAGGAGAATCTGATTTGTTGAAAGCCTGTCTTCTGGGGTGTGTGTTGGGGTGGGGGGGAAGCAGAGACAAGACCTGAAACACTGCTGCTCATGACATGATACTAGTAACTCAGGGTCTGGGAAAAAAAGAAATATGTCTATTTACAGCTTATGCCCCCCAGCACAAAGCCGCTAATAAGTACGTGAGGCTATTAAATATGTGATATGTAAAACAGAAAATGTGTGGTGGTTACTAAGGCACCGTCAAGTTATTTGACTCCCATAATCAAACACTGCTTTTAAGACATTTTCTTGAATTTTCCACAGCACACCTCAAAAATGACTTTAAGATAAATGAAGATAAGATGCAGTCCTCTTTCCACTTAAGCAAACTTTCGTTCTCCCCTTGGTCACGTTCAGTGTCTCTTCTAAGTTAGTTGTTTTGTTGAACACACGATACATTCAAGGCCTGCTAAATGATAATGGTTATTATTCTTCCACCATCGTTTCGACATATCCCCAGCGGTCAAAAGTGTGCCTTATTTGGTCTGTTTAGTTCCATGAAAAAGAAATCCAGCGGATGGGGTATTCGAAGACAAGCAATACCTAAACACATGTGCAAAGTAGCCACTGTTGAGATGACATTTTCAAAAAGCATTTTTTGTATGAACTGGTCAAGCTCACTTTCCTTTTAAACTTCTTGTTACAGTCATTCAGTTAACCCAAACTCACTTTAAAATGTGTGAAAATAGCACCTCCTGAAAAGTGTGTTCTCATATGCTTTGGAGCAATGGAGCGTGAATAGTAAAACAGCCTTTGCCAAACTCATGTAACTGAACAGGAGTGAATTTTTGCAGTCCCATGACTTTGCAGAGCCAACCTATGTATCATCCCACGACTGGCTTTAATACATCATAGACATCCAAGAGAAGACAAAAAAGTCACAAATAAGTGACTCAAGCTAATAAATATTTCATAGATTTTTTTTTTTTTTTTACATGGCAGTCTCTTTTAAATGAATCTGACTTCTTAACCAAAAAACACATTGGCTAAGTAAAGGTGTGGGTTTAGGATTTAAGCTCCTAGAATTAAAACTATGGAATTTATAAAGATATTTAATTTATTGGGCAAAGTGTCATTCTGGATGCTCTTTCATGCATTTTTTATGAATAAATGCCCAAAGATGAACCAAGTCTGAATGAAAATACACAGACCACAAGAGTGGCAAAAATACAAAATTAAATACATTTAAAGCATTAAAGCCAAAGAAAACAAACAATACAAATTTACAATTTCCAGGACACTTTATTGCAATTTCCACTTTACATATTAATATTTTTAGTCTAGGCAGAAGTGTTTATACTTATCCAGTAGTAGTCTAATCCTCTAATCTCACAAAATGAAAAGCAGTTTAAAAAGAACATCAATTCAGGTATTTATGATATGGGGACAAGGGGCACTTGTCTTAGCAAGGAAAAGGGCTGATGGTTTTCAGTATAAGTTTCACTGAAAATTTTCTCTATCATTTTTGTTGTTGTTGATGCAAAGTACTCATAATAAAAACAATCGCCCTCTGTGTCATTCTGCCCTTCCTTGGGCTTTACATTCTGTCTAGCATTTAACTCAAGTCCGTTTACACTCCGTTTACACATTAAAAAAAAAAAAACATATGCCCCATCTCCCACACATCCAAATGGACGGGGATTAGAATTAACCTGCTTTTAGCTGTAACAGTGCTATTTTAAACAATTTCAACCACACACTTGAAGGGTAAAATAACTGAAAGTACAAGCCAAAAGAAAACATAAAAATTCCTACACACTTACTGTTGGATTGTTTAACTATTTCTCAAATCGTCGAGCCTAACACAGATTTCTTAAAAGTGAAATTGACACAAAAGCGAATGCACGCTTCATGTACAAACTGACAGTGGTTCTATGGGGACAGCTCTTTTTGAATGAGCTATTACCCAGACGGTGGAATTAAAAAAAAAAAGGTCTCACTCTTCAAATGTGAGAGAGCTGGCGGTGCGCTTCACTAGAAACACATTTTAATGGGTATGTTCGGATAAAAATAGGTAGTAAGGGAAAATGTGTTTTTAAAAAAAAACCACCTCCCTCCCCAGGACACAAGGAAACCCGAAGGAAAAGACGGGTAACCTCATAAGCTCCGGAGCTAAGTTCCATCACTAGCAGAACAGAAGTTGGATAGTTGCTATTTTTCACCCTGCCGTGGGATAGTAACTCTCCCTGTGCAAGGCACGCGGGGCGGGAATACTGGCGGGGCTTTCACGTGTGGTAAATGGAAACCAAAGTGAGGAGAGGTCAACACCTTGAGTAATCCAGATCCCCAAAACCAGGGCGGTGGGGACGCGGGGTGGCGAAGGAGAGAAGGGAAGGGTCAAAACTCCTCGAAGTTATCGCAAAGAGAAAGCGAACACCTTTGAGAAACTGTGAGCCACCTCTTGCAGCAGCACCCTGTTCCAAGTGTGGGGTGCCTGCCTCGGAGGGCAGAAAGCGCGGGGTGTCCTTACTTAGGTCGAGTGGCTCCGGGGACCCGGGCAGAGAGAGGGGCAGGGGCGGCCGCCGGCGGGGAGGCGGACTCATACTTTGCTTCAACTCTGAGCCCCATCCCGAGCGCAAGAGAGAGAGAGCGGCGGAGGGCACGGTACTCACTAGGGCTCGTTGGTGAACCGGGGGGTCCGGGGCTGCTGGTATCCGTACAGGTGACAGTAGAGCACATCGAAGCAAAAGCAGCACATCTCCGCTGACACCACCATCTTCCGGGAGCCGGGCGATGAGGACGAGGCGGCGGACGACAAGGAGGGCGAGGAAGAGGTGGCGGCGGCCGGGGTAGAAAGTAGGGTCCCCACTCCGCAGCTCGGAGGTGGCGACAGGGAAATCCCCCCGCCGCCGCCGCCGCAGCCCTGGGGGGGAGAGAGGGTACAGCCGCTGCCGCTACCTCCTCCGGCTAGACCTCCCAGCCCGTTGAGCCGCGTGCCGGCGCCTCCTAGTCCCAGCTCCCCAGCTCGGCACTGGCTCTCTCCGCTGCAGTGGGAGGAGGAGGAGGCGCCACCACCGCCACCCGAGCCAGAGGGGGGCGAACTGGACAGTTTCTGCTTCTTCACCCCGCAGCAACCCGCCGCCATCTTGGAACAGTCTCCCCCACGCAGCGCTTCCGACCCATAAGTGAGGCGAGCTGGCGGCGGGGGCGAGCACGCTGCGGC